TATTTTTATTTAATAATAAAATATTATAAATTTTTATCTAAATTATATATGTATTTATAATATATAAATAAAAAATATTTTAAATTTCAAATAAAAAATAAAATATTTATATTATAAATATTTTAAATAAATATTATTAAATATTTATTTATTAAAAAAAAAACTTACTGTTTCAAAATTAACTCTATTTTATGCAAAAGGAATTTTGCGTTATGTATATATAAAAATTTTTTATTATATTAAATTATGTATATATTTATATAATATTATTATGTAAATAATTAATATATCTGTAAATCGATATTCATAAGTTCGATTTTGAATAATTTCTGATAGATCGATAATTTTCGTTCGTCGAATGTCTCATAATCAGAGACAATTTCACGAGAAAATAAAAATTGAATTGTCATTAAATATAAATAAAATCCATATATGTACGTATCAAAAAAGAATCTTCTTCTTAACAAAATATAATTTTTACTTATAATAATCAAAGATACAAAAAGTAATCAAAATAATTATTACTCATACAACATAAGAAAAAAAAAACCCAATTACGAAAGAATATATTGTTTGATTACAGATCAAAGATGATGAAGATCGTGTTATTATCGATGATATGTTTGCTGGGAGCAAGAGCTGCACCCTTGGCTAATCATCACGAAACCGAAGCACCACAGACAGTGGTACCACTCGAAAAAGTAGATTCACCTAATTACAAAAAATCTACACAATCTAATTACATTAGTTCATTAGCTAATTCAGCTGCTGCACTTGGACCAAGGAGTCTTCGCTTGCAACCAGCTGTTGCTGAAAATTCGGAACCCAAAGCGGAAATTCCAGCCGAGGCTTCAACAGCGACCAACCCGGAAAATCCTCAACAAACCACCTCCCAATCTTCCCCCTCAACGTCGCAGGAGAAAAAACAAGAGGAATCTAAACCGGTAGCTCAGGAAACACCATTGGAACCAGCTAACGAAAAAAAGGAATTACCTGTTGAACAAAATAATGCTGAAGCACAACAACAAGCTCAGCCGCAAGCTCAACCACAAGCACAGCCACAGGAACAACCTGCTGAGGCTAAAAAGGATGAAGAAAGTCTCAAGGAAGCAGCATCCGAAATGGCGGTAAACCTTCTACAGGAAACTGAATTAAAAACTGAATCAGCTGAACCAGCTGAGAAAAAGGTAAATTAATAAACGTTTGTCATCGAATTTATACCTGTGTATTTTTAAACAAGAACGATTATTACATTTTCCATATTTACGTTTCAGGAACAAGCAGCAGCAGCAGCAGCAGCACCTGCTGAAGTGAAAGATGCAGCTGAATCCCATGAGGAATCTCAAGAAAAACGTGACGTAACGAAAAAGGAAGAACCAACTAAAGAAAATAGTGAAGAAGAAAAGAAATCCGAGGGACAAGCTGAAGAAAATTCATCGAAAAAGAACGATGAACTCATAGTACCAGCTACTTCTGAAAACCAATCACAAGAAGGTGAAAAGAAAATTGAAAATTCGAACGATTCTAATAAAAACGAAGAACCATTGAAAGAGGAGATAAAAGCTGAAGAAAAACCGGAACGCGTGACACGTGATGCTGAAGAAACTGCACCAGTTGTTTTACAAGAAGAACAAGAAAAAAAGAGTAACGAACAAGCCGAGGAAAATAAAAATAACGAAGAATCTATAAAAGCAACTTCTGAAATTGAAAAATCAGCAGAATTGGCTAGTTCATCGTTGCCAAGTGATGCTAATCAAGATGAAGGTAACAAAGGTGAAAGCAAATCAAGCGCATTGCCACAAGCCGAAAAAGAACCTAAAAGCGCGGAACCCGAATCTGTAACACCAAAGGAAGAAAAATTATCAGAAAATGCTGCTGCCGAAAAGAAAGAGGAAAAGGAAGAAAAAGAAGGTGCTGCAAAATCAGCAGAAGAATCTAGCCAAATCAAACGTGATGCTTCGGCGGTTAACGAAGAATCGGCAAAATCAAAGGCTGACGATGAATCACCAAAAGAAGAAAACAAATCGGTAACTGAAGCAGCAGCACCCGTTACACCTGAATTAAGGGAACGTTCGAAGGAATCATCCTCGGAAGAAGACAAATCCGTTGAAAAGGATGACGCTAAACATAACAATAGCGAAGAGGATGATGACGATGACAAAAAATCATCTGAAGAAAAATCTTCTAAACCAACCGAAGAATCTAAACCAGAATTATTGCCAGAACCTGAGAAAGTCAAGGACGCTAAAGTTAATTCAACGGTTCAACCAGAAGCACTTTCGTCGGCACCTTCTTCTGTACAGGAAGACAACAGTTCATCCTCAGTGGTAATTCCTGGTAGCAGTAACGAAGCCAGTCAAAAGAGTGACGAAAACAGCAGCCAAAGTAACAGCGAGGAAAAGAATGCATCATAAAATGATCAATTGCTAGTTTATATATTACACGATCGGGCTGGTCAAAATTCAACGAAGACTTCATCATCATTACCAACCAACCAACCAACCAACCAACCAACCAATCATAATCCTCGAAGGTAAAAATAGAAATACAAAATGAAAATAGAGAGTCAAATGAGAATAGAGATTCGAGATCAACGAGACACCACACAACAAATATTGATAATAACAACAAAATTAAACTAGCTAAAATAAAAAAGTATATTAAAAAAAAAAAAACAAAAAAAAAACACAAAAAAATTACAAAATATAAACAAAAAAAAGTAAAAAGAAAATGATGAAAGAAAAAAATAAAGAAAAAAGTGCGTAATACTTTGCATCAAAATGCGGATGTGTGCGCGTGTGGGTGTGCATGTACGTATGTGTTAAGGTAAAAGGTAGTAGAAGGTAAAAGGTAAAAGGTAGGGATAGAGATAAAGGTAGAAGGTAGAAAGTAACAGGTAAAATATAAAAGATAGAGGATAAGAAAGAAAGAGAAGAGAGATAGAACAAGAAGAGAATGAAAAAAATAAAAAAAAACAAACAAACACACACACACAAAACATCCCGATGTATACGGTGACAATAATAATTGTAATTAATATTAAGATGCGCATAATATTATTGCTCATGTGGTTTTTAAACGAATTTTGTTTAATCACTGGAAAAAAGAAAATAGAAAAGAAAGAAATACGTGAGATTTGATTAAAATTGAGGTTAGGTTTCGGTTTGTTTTTGTTGAAGAATTCGATTAGACGAATTTTCATCGTCACCGAGAAGCTGCACCCCCCTCGTCACCAACAACACATGGTTTTTGTTTAATTCTGATGGATTGATTGATGATACAGGTGGACACATTTTTTTTTTCTACTCTTCTGACTTTACTTTTTCTTTTCTTTCTTTACTAATTTTTTTTTTTTTGGTCGCTATCCTCATCCCAAAATTCCCACAATTATATATATATATATCCTTTTATTTTCGAACGAACGTACGATTCACACCCCCTAACCAAGACCCATTCCGATAGATTAGCGATTAGTTCACGAGTCTGTCTTTTTTTTAGAATTTAATGCGTCATTCTTATTATTTTTATTATTTTATTATTATTATTATTATTATTAAGATTCTAGTACCAGTTCCACAATTATTAATATTATTATTATTATTAAGTTTATTATTATTATTAATATTATTAAGTTTATTAATATTATTATTATTAAGTTTATTTTTATTATTATTATTATTATTATTATTATTATTATTATTATTTTATTTTATTATTGCGATTTAGTACGAGTTCCATAATTATTAATAATATTATTATTTGTATTATTGCTGTCATCATCGTTATAATAATAATAATTATTATTATTACTGTCCATCTTCAAAGTAAATTTGGCGTTTACTGATACCAATATCCTATGTAAAAGAAAGAAAAAAATAACAAAAAAAGAAAAAAAAATGAAAAGAAGATTAAAAAATAATCAAGTTAAATGATAATTATCCTTTCATATAGAATATTATTTTCATTTTACAGAACAATTAAAGTATATTGAAAAAATTATGAGACTTTTATACGAAGATTTATCTAACACTTGGATTACCAATATTTCAAGTTACGATCGAACGAAAAGAAAGGTTCAACTTGTTTTTCCTTCAAAGAGACAACCATCATCACCACCCACACCTTTCTATAAAGAATTTCTTTTGCGCAAGAAACAAATACACGGATGATAGTACGCGACATTTATTCGTAATATGCGTTTAAAACTTTGTTACTCATCCCGAAGGCCGAATAAAATACACGATGGTGTGTATATATAAAAGGTAAATGTGCATTCGAATAAACACAGTTGAATTCTATAAGGTTGTTGTACTCGACAAAATGTCAAGGCACGAGAAAGACGTTTTGCAATCTATCACACAAGATTCTATGATATCTATCAATGAATTAAAGTGAGCATAGCTAAATGGAATGAATTATAGCATATTTAAGTATGTCTTCTTCTTAAATGCAAATGACTGATACTTCTTTATTTGCATTTTGTCTTTTTCTTTTTCTTTTTCTTTTTCTTTTTCTTTTTCTTTTTTTCTTTTTTTTTTTCTTTTCCTAATATCAAGGAGAAAATGAACGTTGCCTTTTGAAATGCCGCGAGATCTTTCAAGAATTTTACTCGATCTTAATGAGAAGAAAAATATGATATAAATGATAATCAATATAAATATTTTTCTTTAACTTTTTTTTTGTTCGTTTGTTGATTATAGATATTCAGAATAAATTAGCTCCATTCCTAGATATTTTTTCATTTACACCAGGAATTGTATTTAAAGGAAATCAAAAAACGTAAAAAATAATTTGTTTCACTTACAATTGAAATGAAAAGAAAATAAATAAATAAATAAATAACGCGAATAATTTCGATTTAGTATCAATTTAAAAAAAAAACACGTGCGAGTTTCTATTTTTATATTTTTGCAAAAAAAAAAAAAGAAAACCCGTCATAGTATTTCTTTACGTTAGTCGTTTCTATTTCTTGGTATTCGAAGTGAAATATATTTTTATTTGTTAAATAAATTCACGTTAAAAAATAAAAAATACGACAAACGTTTTCACGTTAATCACGTTGTTTGATGAAATAATTTTAAGAAAAAAAAAAATAAAATAAAATAGGAGAGAAAAAAAATCAACGATAATTTGACCCCGACGTGATTTGAACACGCAACCTTCTGATCTGGAGTCAGACGCGCTACCGTTGCGCCACGGAGTCACTTGTTCGATAAACGCTTTTAAACCCCTTATATACAAACGAAATTATTTCTAATTTATAATATAACTCTATATTACTTAGAAATAATTTTCAATTGTAAATATAAATATCGAAAAATATATAATTTTGACTTACCCGATGAGTCAGTAGAAAGCACATTAAAACACCGAGAGACCACCAATCAACTTCTTGTCCATATGGTAGCCTTTTCAATATTTCTGGAGCTGAAATTCATTGAACATAAAAATGAGAAAGATTTGAATTTTAATTAATTTAATTTTTAATTAATTGTGTATAATATATATATATATATATAGATAATTACCCATATACTCAGGAGTCCCACAAAAAGTATTCGTCCTTTGTTGTCGATTTAACCACTTGGATAAACCAAAATCTATAATTACAGCGTGTCCTTCTTCATCCAATAAAATATTAGTTGCTTTCAGATCTCTGTGCACTACTCCAGCATTATGTAAAAAATCTTCAAACAAATAATACATTTTTATTATTATTTGATGATAATATTAAACAATGTCATTTGAAATATATATTTTATATTAGATCCTTACCAATAGCTAAAGCAATTTCTGCAACATATATTCTAACTACTTCTTCAGGTAAACATCCATACTTTTCTACTAATGAGAATAATTCTCCACCACTTATATAATCCGTTACTACAAAATATAAATAATATAATCAAATTTAATGATACAAACAAATCTTTTCTTTACATCTTAAAATACTTACATATGTATAAAGTTTTTCTACTTTGCCATCTATGAGTTGAATTTACTATAAATGGATGATGCCCAACCATTCTTTGAATATCAACCTGTAAAAGATACATTTGCAATAATACTATAGAATAATATGAATAAATATTTATTTATAAATAATATATGTATATATACCTCTTGTTTTGCTTGAGCGATGGCATTCTCAGTGACAATTTGAGCTTTGGCGATAACTTTCAATGCAAAAACTTGTTTAGTCTCTCGATTCTGAACTTTATAAACTCTACCATATGCACCTTTGGCAATAAGAGCAAGGAAGCTGTATTCTGCATTTAAAGTCATCTTTCTGACTTTAAATTCTGGAAGAAATATTGCTTCGGACCTAGGTATTGGCCATGCCGTCTTAGAAGAACTAAGAGAACTGTGGACTAAGCTTTTGTTCAAAATGTTAAATAGAATATATTTTATCTATAATAAATGTATCAAAATGAAACCATTAAAAGTTAATTACCTTCTACAGGAAGAACGAGAGTAGGATTTGGTTTCTACGTGAGAAGATCTCGTTGAGCCAGCACAACTCCCACCAATGATATCGATAAGACTATACTGTAAAGGTATATATTGATTAATAAATTTAATACAGATGATTAATGAAACATTATTACTTTATTTTACATTGAACATTATTAAAATGTTAAAATAATTATCTTACATACCTGACTAGCATATTTCTGATGATCATAGTATTTTTTCTTGACGTTAGAATTGCCCATCCAGTTGAACAATAGTAAACAACTGTCAAATTTAATGCACAAGTGATAAGGAAGAAAATAACCTGTTCATTTTATTGCACATTATTGAAATTTATATTTTTAAACATTCATTTGTCTATCACAGATAGATAAAATGAATATTCATTAATTATTCACTGAAAATGAAAATCTTACAATTAGAAATAATTATGATAAAAGATTGAAATAGTTTTGACATCTTACATTTGATTCATTATTATAAAATAATAAATACCTATATATATATATATAATTTATTAATAAAACTAACCATTATTCTTTTGCGATAACCAAAAATATGTAAAATTATAAAATAAAAAAGATATCAAGCTGCAAATATGATACGATATAATCAATATATGTAAATGACAATTTTAATTACATTCTCGGTGTATAACCTCCAAATAATAAAGAATACAAATATATATCTTATTGTTTGATTTCAAATAACTTTATTGATAAAACAGTATTTATAATGAAAAATTAAATATTTTTTTATCACATTAGGATAATCAATGTTTTATAAAAACTTTAATTACGATATATCATGTGGTAAAATGACATAAAATGTCATATATCGAGATGAATTATGTTAATAAAATGTAAATCGAAACAAACCAAGAACGAGATCGATAGATCGATAATACAGTTAGCATCGATATAGTTATCATCAGAACAATAATACGATATTTAGTCGTCAGAGTGCGCTTCGGTAACGATATTCGGTAACGTCAGAGTGCGCTTCGATAGCATAGATTGATCAATCGATAGTAATTACGTCAGTACCAGAAGCAGAAAGAAGAGAAGAGAAGTGCAAGTGCATTCAATCATGGCTTTTGCAAGATTACATTCTCGTATATTTGCGAGACAATTTGCATCTGCAGCAGATAATCATGGAAAAGGTAAATCAAATAAATAAAATTATTGAAATATCATTGAAATTTATATAAAATAAGTAATATTAGTTTATTGGTTATCTTTCCAATGTATCGTCATATTTACAGTTATTTTATCAAACATATTTTGTTTACACATTTCATTGTTTTAGTATTAAATATTATCAATTGAAATCTAAATTTATATATATATTCGTCATATATTTATATATGTATTTATATATATACACTTATACATGACACACATAGAGAGAGAGAGAGAGAAAATAATAGAAATATTTTTACTTACACTGTCCAAGATATCAGATGTATTATATAATAATAAATATATATATTTTTTCAGGTGATCCTACAGTTTTATGGAGGAATTTATATTTATTCGTTGGAATTCCAGCTACTTTGTTAGGTTTGTTAAATTGCTATCTAAGCGAGCAAGAACACGTTAAACAAGAATTTATTCCATATGAACATTTAAGAATAAGGAACAAGGTATTTATATACTTCAACATACTCGCACAACTAAAATTGATTTTCTTTATCTATATTTCATATCATTGACTTATTATTTAGCGATTTCCATGGGGAGATGGACAACGATCTTTATTTCATAATCCACATACCAATGCTTTACCAACAGGCTACGAAGATGAATAAGCAAATGTAATTAAACGTTAATTAGTATTATTAAAATTTAGTTTCTTTATCGAAACGTTATATCCATGATAGTAGGAAGAGTTTCAATAAATTTATAAATTTCTCTCTTATTGACTTATTTTTAATTATGATATATCAAATACCTAAAAAAAAATTTTTTAAAATAAAAAAACAATTAATAAGAATCAGGAAGGGATAATAATAATAAAATTTAGTATCAAAATTTAATATATACTTTGGTTTTAAAGTTGTACAAATATGTTTAAAAAAAAACATTTCTTGTTTTTCTTATTTATTAACAAAGATAAAAAAATATAATGCAAATATAAAGAAATTCTTAATAATAACACAAAAATCTTTGTATCGATCTATACAAGATAGAATTTGTATACATATATTAGTTCGCTGAATGACTGTTTCTAAGTATTGCTTTTATCCTTAAAAAAAACTATAATTACATAGTTTTTATACTTCTAGCTAATATACTTCTAGTAGAAGTATTGGTCAAAATAATATTGTTTCAATTCAAAATAAAAATAATACATAGATATACAAAATTATGATTAATTTTAATTGTTATTCGCTTATATCAATTATTAAGAATTTGAAATTATCGAAGCATCGTTGTTAAACATTTCCTTTGGATATTTTTGCACTATGAGGTGTACAATATTTGTGATGGTCTTTTATCCAATACGATGCTGCACATTCTTTGGAACAATAATGTGCTTCTAAACAAACTTCGCAGACAACTGTACTTATCTTAGGACAATTCAAACAAATAATATTTTCTGGTATCTGAATTTTTATTTCTATTTCATTCTGTTGAATATGATTGACAGTAAACAATTTATCCTCACTCGAAGAACCAACTGAATTTTCTTCCATTGCATTAAACGTATTTTGAGATATGGTTCGTACATCTGTTATACATGGTTCAGACATAATTGTAGCAATTTCCTTCCTCGAATCACATTGCTGAATTTCAATATTATTTTCGTTTCTTTTTTCTAGCAATGAAACTGCTTCCATATGTGTCGAAACAACCTGGATATTTTTTTCTTCATTAATCTTATCTTTATTAATGGTAATAGGAGTAGTCATTACATTAATGTATTTTTCAATTTCAGTTGTATTTTTAGAACTTGTTGAAGGCTCTTCTTCTACATTTGCGAGTTTTTGATGTTTTATTTTACCTGAGTTTAATTCATTACAATTTGTAGTATCATTTGGTGATTCAACGAGTAATGAATTTGTATTATTATTTTGTAATAAAATATCTGATGACGTTGTGCTATCAGTAGGTTGTTTCGTACAATTTTTTAATTTACGTGATTCAGTTCGTTTTCTTTGTTTTACTAATTTCTTTGGTGGTGGTTTATTCGTTGTATTTTCTACCAATGATTCTAAATTTGGAAACACCGCAGTATTTGGATTTGTTTTATTTTGATGATTCATAATGTTCATCGAATTTATTTTTCTTTGATATTCCACCATTCCTTGCATATTTAGTTGCCGTTCCATCTTTCGTTTTTCTAATATTACTGTTTTCTGCATATGCTTTCCGTATTTACTTCGAAGTATTACGGATTCGTTTATTTGTGATTTAAATACAATAAAATTGTACACTTTTTCCTTCCATTCTTTTTGATATACTTCTAAGCAGCAAAAGTTTTTATTATTATCATATGTTGTACAATTCAGTAAATTTTCTTCTAAACAAAATGTTATTTGATCCCATATTTTGAGTAATAATTCATACGGAATTGAACATAATATTTCAGGATAATTTTGTAAACGATTGAAATTCTGGATTTGTAATTGTTTAGTAAGCATTGTAGTAGCTGGTGAAGTTTGTTGTAAATTTTGGAAATTATATCTTTGTGACATGTTACATAAAAAAGGGAATTGTTGTTGTTGTTGTTGTTGTTGCGTTTGTTGAACTAGTTGTTGAGTATAAGATAATTCAGATGTACTTTTTGCATTATCGATTCTTGGTATATTATTATTTAATTGATATGGTATTTGTGGTACTACGCGTTGATTATAATTCGGTATCGATACATAGTTAGTTCTATTATCTTGCAATACTTGTACATTATTATTTATTGACTGCATTAGCATAGGGGAAACAGCTGATGTATTAGAAGATTTGAACAATATTGATGAATTATTAAGATCGCTTTCGCTATTTTGGTTTAAAGCAATAAAATTATACAAATGTGTTTTTGGTAAATTATTTAGTCGACGTTGCTTCTCTAGCAGGTTATATAAATTTGGGTAAACTTGGTTTACACTGGTAGACGTATTATCAGCATTTGTTACATTAGAAATAGATGAAAATGTATTGATAGAATTAGACACAATGTTACTTGAGGTATATATAATCGAATCGCTAGGGCTAGGATCATATGTTTTAAGTGTTTTATCATGTACCGATATATAATTAACAATTTCTGTTAAGGATATGGGTTCACATTCGGGTAATAATGAATTATCATTAATTTTAGATACTACATATTTTATAATTTCATTTAAATCAGTTAATTTCAATTCATGTCCTAAATTATATAATTCATCAAAAAGTACAAAAGAATGGGAATGTAATCTCATATTATTAACATTATTGTTAGTATTAAGCGTATCTTGAGAATTATTTAATAAGTTTTTTGTGAAATTACGTAAACCTTCTATACGTCTACATATTGACAGTAAATAAGAAGTTAAATTACGTGGCTTATTATTTAATTCGATATTCTTATTTAATTCGATATTCTTATTTAATTGTTCAGTACTAATATTAGATGACACATTACTGTGATTTATAGGCACCGTAGGTTCATTTGGTGTAACATTAGGTTCGATTATGGATGTGCTTAAAGGCGGAGAAGGACACCACTTGGAACCTAATTCTGCACTAGAAAGAACCCTAATTTTATTCCGTTTTATTGGTTCTGATTGCACAGTAGTATTACAAGTGAGATCAAGCAAAGCACCTTCTTGTAAATTATTTGTATTCAACGAAGTCTCATTAATTATTTTATTTTCATTTGACACGTTTGTTTTACATGTATCATTATTTTCCATCAAAATATCAACAACCGGTGATGTTGAATTAATATTTGTTGATTCCTCTACAACCGATGATGTTGAATTGATATTTGTTGATTCTTCTGCAACCGATGATGTTGAATTGATATTTGTTGATTCTTCTGCAACCAATGATGTTGAATTGATATTTGTTGATTCTTCTGCAACCGATGATGTTGAATTGATATTCGTTGATTCCTCTGCAACCGTTTCCTTATTTCCATTTGTAGAATCATTAATTGTTAATAAATCCTCCATACTGTTAATATTTGTTTCCAAATTGTCTTGAATACTAATAGTATTTCCATTAGATTCTATTCTATAATTTTGATCTATATTAATTTGTAAAAGTTTATTTAAATCTTCATTTAGATTTTGTTTCAATTCTTTCGTTGTATCCTTATTTTGAACAACAATTTTCTTATATTTATTAAAATCGATTAAAATATTAGCAGCACAATTATTATCAATACAAGACTTAACTTCAAGTATTTTTTCTCTCACGTCATTATCATTAATATCTTCTTTATTAGATTCTATTGAATTACTATTAACAATTATTTCACTATTTTCTTTTTTATTTGATTTATCAATAGATGTATGAATTTTTGAAGTTTCACAATGACTTTCAGTAATATGAAAGTTTTTAAATATGTTATTTTCAACAATATTTTTATTTATTAGAGAATATGAACTTTTAGTTTTGGTATTTACATTAACGGTAGTATCACTGTTTAAATTATTATTATTGTTATCATCATCTGTAATATTATTGTTATCATCATCTGTAATATTATTGTCATTATTTTTATTACCATATTTATCATCATCAACATTATTATTATTATTATTATTATTACCACTACTACTATTATTATTATTACTCTTTTCACTTAGTGTTTTTATTTCACTAGCATAATCAGGTAATACTTTAACATCTGTATCATTTGCAGATCCATCAGAAGAACTGACAATAATAGAATCTGTATCTGTTTTTACATCAATAGACGACGACTCTTTAATATACATTTGTGTTACGCCATCTTTATTTTTGGTTATTGGTTGATTAAAGATGTTATCTAATATACTATTATCACAAAGCGTAGAAAAATTAAAAATTGTGTTATTTGTAAAAGAGTTAGCATCAATTGTGTCTTCATCACAAATAGTTAGATCAATAATTTGTTTATTCATTTTATGGACATTGGTATCATTTTTTAATGCTGCTGTGTCATGGTGCATTAATTGTATACTTGAAATCTCCTGAGTTTTTCTAGATGATAATATATCTTTTTCATTTGTCATTAAATTAAATGTTTTGTTTTCTTGCGTATTAGAAATATTTGATGTTTTATCATTAAATTGTTTGTCTTTGTTTCTTTTTTTTAATGACATATTTATAAGAAATTCTTCTTCCTCTTCCTCACCCGTTGAAGAACACGGACCAAATATTTGACGAAATTTAGCCTTTATCTTTTTTCTTTTTTTCTTATATATATTTGTACATCTTTTATTTAAAACATTATCGCAATTCTTATGAATTTTGTCAATATATTGTTTATATTCTCGATACATGTATTTTTTATTAATTTTTTCTTCTATTGTTTTCTTAGTTGCACTTAAATCATCAATGTCATCTTGTTCGCTATTTGATACGGTGGAATCTGGTTCTACGGTTTTAGATTTACAATCAAAATTTTCATTATCGTCATATTTGTTATTATTCAATAACAATTCATCGGAAACTTTTGAAATAATTCTTAATTGTGTCGTATCAATTTGATTATGCATAGTAGTATCATCATCGTCAACGGCATTAATTTCATCGTTTGATTTACTTTTGTTTTTCGATATTTCATTAACGCTCAATGTATTATTCGATTTTTTATAATCTGATTCCAAATGAGGTGGTCGTTTTTTTAATTTATGTTTATCCAAATATTCTTTTCTACGATTATTACTATCACGTTTAAATGATGAATTATTTCTAATGTTAAGTTGATTATTATTATCCGTATGTAATAATTTAATGCCTTTTGATTTCGATACGATTTCTAAATTACTATTATTATTATCCATATTGGAATTAGTCTTCTTTATGTCAGAATATTTGTCCAGATTTGTTGAATGAACAAAATCATTTTTATTCTTATCATTATTTTCATTAGATTTATCACCGTCTAACAATAACATATATTTGTTGCAACCATCGAGAATTTCTTTGTTATCTTCGATATTGAAATTGCGCATTACTTCTCTTGATCTAAAAATACAAAATAAATATTTGAAATAAAAATTAGTTCTATAGAATGGAGGGCAAGCAGATACTGAATAAAAGAGGATGAGAAGAATATGTGCAGATTGTGTGGGATAGAAAAAGAGACAGGAATGCATGTGATGAGGGAATGTGACTATTCGGAAACGGAAGAGAGGATAGAAGTGTTGATGGGAGAGGAGGGAAAGGGAATGGAATGGATGAAGGAATTATGTAGGAGAAGAGAGCGATGTTAAGAGGATGTGGTAGTAAGAAGAAGTTAATAAAGGTGTACTTGTGTATAGGTGTATTTGTAAAAATGTATATTTGTAAAGAGGTATTATATTAAAACGGGT